AGTGCTGGGATTAAAGGCCTGCACCACCAACGTCCGGCTATGCCTACATTTTTAAGATCAAAATTTATATGAATGCACAAGAGAATGTTTTCCTCAATTTGCAAACTTTGCTTTGCCAAGCCTGGGCTTCAACTGCCTACTGGATAATGCAACTGGTGATGGACCATCAGCCTGGTCTCTTCACTAAATGTGGTATTAAAATTCAGGCCTCCTTGAAACCGAGAAATTATGATCCTGGGCTTTGGAGAAACTTCTCTAAAAGATGGATTTGTGGGTCTGTAATTCATGGGTCTTAAAGGCTCTGCTTTGGCAAAATAATGGATTCCAAAGCTTTGGGGTAATGGATTGCCCATTCGGAACAACTGGAAGGATCATGTTCTTCTCCTATGTGAAATACTTTCCAACTCTTGCTGTTGTGTGGCATGATTTTTTTGTGTGCAGTATGCATGGGTGTACAGATACATGCATGGGGACACATGTGTACATGTGTAGCATGTGCCTGGAGGCCAGAGGACAATCTCCACTGTCCTTCCATGGGTGCTGCCCACCATGTTTTCTGAATTGAGATCTATCAGTTGGTTGCCTGGCTGCTCCAGGGGTCCACTTGTCTTTCTCTCCTCAGGGCTGGGATTCCAAGCACACACCACCATGCCTGACTTTTTATGTGCATTCTGGATGCTGAGAGCTCAAGGTCTCATGCTTGCAATCTATACCCAGATTGACAGGTAAACTTGTAGTTGCATAGAAATAGCTCTGGTTTCTAGTGAGCGTGTCTCAGTGAGAGAGGCCAGAGTGAGGGTGCAGGATGTAGCGGGGACTGATAGCAAGGCATTGCTTTCTAAGCCTGTCCAGCCAGCGAGCTGCTCCCAGCTTACTGTCATAGGCTTGTGACCTCTGACCAGGGCATCTTCTCTCCTAAGAATGACACAAAGGCTAAATTCAGTCCCTTCTTGTTAAGTTTCATTAAATTTCAGTGGGTTCTTCAAGGCACTCAAATGCACCCTTTTCTAATGAATTAATCATAAGACCTCCTCTTATAAGATACCCATAACCCACTTGTCCTTCTCCAAGATGCTGAAAGTTCCAACCCCACCCTCTAATCTCCAGGAAGTTAATATTTAAGACTAGCATTCTTATTAGATGGCTAATAAAAGAAAAGAAGTCTCCATTGCTTTTTAGGGTTAAAAATCAAAACTTGAAGCCTGTAAATACAGGAATATAGGAAAGAACTGTGATTGGATGGACTTACTAGTAGCAACCGTGCAGGAGACAAAGAAGCAAACATCCCGCACTGGAGGCGTTTTGGAAAGGACATTGTTTTTAGTGCCATTCTTCTTACCTAATACCAAGTGACTAAATAGCAGAAACCTGACTTGCTTATAACAATGCATAGGATTGTTGGTTATTGTTGTGGGCCAATTAGATAACAGGAAATTTTCCTATTTCATGTGGATCTTGGCTTATAACTGGCTTCATTACTATGGAATAGCTTCAGTAAAGTCTTCACATTATAGCAAAGTTATTTGTTACACCCACTGGGCAAGTACTTATTTTATACCCTCCGATTGCCCCCAGTTGTGCCAGGTACCAGGGAGATATCAGCAAATGGAGAAGACTGGACTCTGGTCAGCTTAGCTGGGCAGTACTCAGAAGAGAGGGCACTTTCTTTCAGAGCTTGTCTTAAGTGAAAAGGCCACCAGGGGAAGAAAATGACAAGTTCTTCTATTGTGTAACATATCTCCAGCAACCCTCTGACATGTTCTAAAACAGGGAGGATGGCATCTTCCAAATACGCTTGCTTTTTCCATTGCAAATACATGAAGAGAAATGACACAGGCTCTCGTCCATACGGGACTCCAAGTGTCCGCCTCATCCTGCTTCAAAAATGGCATAATTCTGCACTGATAAAAACAAAACATACTAACAAAAAACCCAAACAAAACAAAACCAAAATCAACAACAAAACACCCACCCAAACCAAAAGCACTGATCTGACAAAAGCACTGATTAAAACTGGTGTTAGTCAGCAACAAATGTGTTCAAGTTGAGTGAGTCCTGCCTCTCTGCTCTCTTATATGACAAGTTACACGGTCTCTAAGTGTTCAGCTGTGTCCGATCATCTGCTGCCACACTCGGAGAAGACCCCACCCCAAGCCACAGTGGTGCTCAGGGTCTGGAGGCTCTCTGAAGTTGGTATTTTGCTTTTGCTCTGAGCACATGATAATCAATCCTAACACTTTTAGGAACCGGAAGAGTGATCCAGTCTGCCTAAATTCAGAAGGTTTTAAGATGACATCATCTGTAACCCTATCTACTGTGATCATCTACTGTATTTTTGTTTACCAGTGTTAAGGAGCCAACTTAGGGCCTTGCCCATTGAAGGTGAGCATTTACCACTAGGCTAAACCCGGGGCTTCCATTTGCTGTATTTTTCTTTATCACAGTATAAAATAACAGCAGCTGTCTCCATTACTAATACCTTTCAGCTGCAATTCGACCCTACAGTCCAACAAAGAAACCCACAGTGAACTTATTTAAAATATTTATTTTTTTTCAACAGCGCTCTCTTGTCTTCCTTTATGCCTTGCGGGGGAGAGTCATTTAAAAACCAGAGTTTGGTGTTCTGGAATACCGTACTTCCCTTTGTGCTCATCAAATAGTTTCCTTAGCTCCTCCATGTAGGTCTGATGCAGCTGTTCAGTCTGCTCTGGGGTCGGGTTTGGAGTCCGCTGGACAGGGATGGGGCGGCCAACTGTGAAAAACAGAACACGCATCACCCTCGAGGAACAACCACCGCTGGGCCACAGCCCATGTCTCCAGTGGGCGTCTGAGGGCTGGGCTGCCAATCCACATCCCTCCAGCCCGCTGGCTCCAGTCCTCTCCTCAGCTCACTGGCTGCCTGCCTCAGTCACACCATCGCACTTGACAGCAAATAGAGTTTCCCTTCTCAGCAGACACTGGGCTGTCATTCTCCTGTGGTTTGACTTCTGAGTCAAATGCGCTGCTGTACCCGCGGGCTGCAGCTGTGAGCAGAGGAGGCTTTGCCACGTCACCCTCCTTCTCTCCTAGGCACAGCTGACAGCCAGACCACAGTGTTCTTATTATGACTGACTGAAGTGCTCAGGTCACGCGGCATCCCTCTATTCTGACTCATTTCTTCTTCTTTCTTTTCTTTTCTTTTCTTTTTTAACCTTTCGAAACAATCGAAAGTGTCACATATCTGTAGGAATATGTGACACTTTCCTATGCGAAGCATCTGTAAGACAGAAAGTCATATAATCACAAAAACTGAAAGCAACCACAGCTCAAGAGGAAAGCAGTTACATAAGTTGAGTGACATTATTCACTGGAACCCTAGGCAGCTATCTTTTAAAAAGAAATAAATAACTCGGGACGCATAATGTCTAAAATGTCAAAGAAAAGTTGCAAAATTAAGTGTGGCACTATCTGCCAGAAAAAA